GTGGTATGGAAAGGGTCTCCCGCTGTGGGAGAAGCTTTGATGGACTGGAGGGCTCTTCAAAGGAAGTGACAAGTAAATGATGTTCACTTTCCTTTACATCAAAAAAAAATCATACACCTGCCAAAAAAATTACAGAAAATCAAGGGAAATCAATTTATAACATGATCATAATACCAACTTCAATTGAAAATTATTTAATTCACCTCGGCAGGGCTGAGCATATTGAAGGCTGGCTGAATATGTAAAGCATTTGATCTAACATTTACTGGTCATCTCAGCATTCGGGGTCTAGCCTCAGGAACTGCTGGCACAACTAAGGAAGTGTTCTAATAAAATTAGAGCTGTGTGAAGCATGTTAAAATAAATATTTGGTATGAAAATCGAAAATAATGAAAAGAGATTTCATCAATAATGTGAGAATAAACCATTAAGAAGAAAATAAAACCAGTAATATATCAAAGTAGCTGATCCATCATAAGTTTCATAACAGATAGGTTCAATTGCTCAATCAAAAAGCCACACACTGTCGCAGGCCAATTATATGAGCTGAAAGCTTCTACGTCCTCGCAAAGAGAAGACAGCTACTTGGATACTCTAAAATTACTTGAAGGAAAAAGTAAATTAGTCCATATGAAGTTTATTAATAATTCTATAAAAATGTCAGACGATTGTCCTGACTCAAAATTTATAAGTTGGGTTTTCATTTGTCTCGCATCAATGCTATAGAACGGAGCTTTATTTCAGCATGTGGGTGACCCTCTATTGGAAATGTCTATTAGGAGGGTAACTTGGTCAGCATCAAATTTGAGCTCTTTCCCACCTAGCTGAAATGTCATTTGATCAATATTCCAACAGTTAATTATATGCATTTTCAGAATATGATCCTGAGGGTATGAAGGGAGTTCAAAAAATTGAACCAAGCTCATGGTTTCCAACTTATTCCACGTGTGCTCGTCGATAGTTGGTCGGACCTTATCCAGAGCTTCTCGTACCGCAGATGGACGACATCTGCAGTTCATTGATTTTGCACTCAAAAACCTACTATTAATTTTAATGTATGTTAAACAATGTAAATAATAATCAAAGTAAAAATTCCCTACAAAATTAAACTCATTTAATCAAAATACTCATTCTACCCTAAACCCTAATTTCAAAACCACTTTTCAAAAACTCAAATTTAAAATCTTTTAAAACTCAAGCTTAAAATTCAACATTCAGAATTATCTTCTAAAAGCACAAAACTTAAAATAAAGTAAAATCTCAAATATACCTAGAAACGACATTGGGCTTCTTAATGGATTCGGTGCCCTCCGTCTTAAAGCCATCAAAATCCTTCTTCTTACATCCACCCTTCACCATTTGCCTTGGCAGCTTGACCTCAAGCTTCTTGACATCTTCCACGTCCCGCTTCTCCACCTCGTCAAACTGTGCAACATTCTCCTCTTCCAACAAGGTCGTAATCTTGTTGATGTCCTCCGTTTTAATCCAAATGTGAAACCCTAAACAATACCTCAACGTTTGAGAGGAATGCAAACCCTAGACATGAACGAAAACGTCAATGAACCCTAAAGATTTCTTACTGTATAAATTTGTATCGTGGGTATTTGAGCAGTACATGTCAAACGAAGGTTACATTCGCTATTGAGGTTACCGCTAGGTTACGCGAATGGTACATTTCCTCAACCGGTTACCACAAAGTTACATTCCCTCTGTGCAATCCCCTTGTCGATCCTTGCCCCCAGCCTCCTCTCGCTGGCAGCCTCGCCTCATTAATGACCTCTCCTCACCAAACTCTCTGAGTTGTCCCCTTTTTTCTATCATTTAAGGTTTTTTTCTTGAGGGTATGAGGGAGGCAAGACCAAGAGGGAGTCTACAAGGCAATGTGCTCTTTCCTTTAAGCTTGCGATCACACCGTGAGGTGAGAAGGTGAAGAGATTATTTAATTTATCACTTAGATTAGGTGAAGATCGGTTGTGAAGCTTGTGTTCACATCAATTGCTGAGAAGTTTTTTTTTTATTTTTTATTTTTTATTTTTTTTTTGCCAACTAAGTTTATTTTTTTTTGGGTATTTGATCAGTACACGTTAAGTGAATGTTACATTGGCTACCGAGGTTACCACCAGGTTACACGATCGATACATTTGCTAAGTCGGTTACCGAAAAGTTACAATCCCTCTGTACAAGGCTGTGGAGGTTACCTAAAAGTTATACGCGCGGTTCGATCGTCCGGAGGTTACACCCCAGTTACGGATCATTTATTGGAGCTGCACCGCGGGATTAAACGGATCGGTTACGCGGCGGTTATAGATCGGTTATAGCTCATTTATAATCGAGTGGGCTGGGTCGACAGGTCGCGCGAGTAAATTTTCAAAAATAGGCGATGGGACCGACTCAGCTGATGTGTCGAGCTGCTATTGGAAGATGTACGCAGCGCTGCGTACGTCTTACGTACGCAATTTTTTTCCCACATCTAGAGTCTCGATTGCAATTAATGAGGAAAAATGACCCACTTTAATTAGGAACTCAGAGCATTTGAAACTATTAAATGTCATGGGAATTCAAATTATATTTTTCATATAATTATGTGACATGAGAATCCGAAGCAAGCATTCACATATAATTATAATTATGGGTATTCAAAGTAATACTATCAAAAAAAATTCACCGTTCCTAAATAGCTAATGCTCTTGGTTCTTCTTTCGCAATTTGCTCTCGTGGAGAAGCAGGGTAGAACCGTCTTAAAAGTTATCAGAGACTGACTTCCGAGATTTTCTTTTGCGGTCTTCTACCGTGAAGAAGCAGGAGACAACAATCCTGAAAGTTGACCACTGAGATTTCCTTTTCCGATCTTTTTTAGTGTAACAACATGAGAAAGTCTCCCTGAAGGTTATCCCGATCTGTCTTAGCAAGACCTCCGAAATGAGCCAAACAGGAGAAAATCATCTCGAAAATTATCCCAACTTTTGTTTCTCAT